TATATATATATATATATATATATATATGTAGACTTATTGGATAAATAACTGAGCTATTATATATATCATTTTACTAAACGTATAAAGCTCTTTAATTTGTTTTGTTCTATAGCTATACCATTTTGGATTCATCTTGACATTACACTATGTGTGGTACTTAATCTTAAGTCATAAATCCTTTAATATGGGGTTCATTCTCTCAATTTCCAACATCTTTTTCATGCTTCTATTTCCATGAATACCAATAAAGTCACTGTTTTATTATTCAAAAAACTATGCTTTCCTGCTTGTGAGGTCAATTAATTATTAACAGATCTATTTAATAACTGAACAATAAACGGTTGTTCACTTCATTTTAATTTATTGTGCTGGAAACAATGCGTTGTTAGTTTGTACCGACACTTTGAACATATAAAAGACCACACACAGATACCATTACTCATTTATATAAATCTATTAATAAACTAAGACATTTGTGTAAAATTTTGTTTAACAACAATAACCATTTGAAGCTCATTTTAATTTCATAAATTATTGATGGAAGGTTATTTAGATAAATGATCTTTGAAGCTAGCTAAGTAACTTTTCGATAGTCATTTAAAATGTACCAGAAAGCTTGGTTAATGATATGACTAAGAAAAGTTGGATGACATGATAGAGAATAAATTTTTAAATCATCTTTACAGAAAAGCTAGTTATTTGAATCAATTAAAAATAAAAATAAGCAATGAAGTTGATGGATAGTTTGCAACAGGTTGTTATCCACAAAAATATTTAAGAATAATATGTACAGCCCCTGTTTACTTTCATCTTTGCATAAGGCTTAAATTATAATGAAAGAAATATTTTGGTATTTTAAAAATGCGGGAAGAAGGTAGAGATATTTTTTGTAAAACTTTTGTTGCTTATGGATATTTATCATTTATAGCCCTATCGTCATTGGAGTACATACAACTTGTTCGGTGATGCATCTTGTTGGTAGTATTGTTAACTGTACTTGTTTGGATTCCAGTACCGCTACAGCTTACTTATTTGACGATGATATGTATAACAAAGTTACATTCATTCACAATATGGAAACTTCTATTCAGGTAAGCAATCATCTTATGCTCCTTTTCAGTACAGTTATAACCATTTTATAAAATATTTTAGATTGAACTTATAACCAATTACCTTTGCAGTATTTCAGATTGAATTATCCAAATATGTTTTATTATTGAAAAAATTAAAGTAGATTAATTTTATCAGTATTTTGCGGTATTTTTCAGTTACTGTAAAATCTCCTTCTTTTAATTGTTTTAATAAAAACGTGATGCTGTGTTTTCAATTTCTATGTATATATACTCTTTTTGGTATTTGTGATAATGTAGAAAGCCTTTTTTTGTGATAAATATTTATTATTACTGATTGAAGCAGTCTTGAACACTTTGTTATTCGCATTATCAGTTTTCAATTCACGTTGTTGATATGTTGTTAACTTTAGGGTTGTATAAAAATGGAAGCAACAAGTTATGCGACGCATGAAGATGAATTATTTATTCAAAAAAGCATGTTTTTTGGTACAGTAAGTGAAAGCAATGAAGAAAGGTTGAAGCAAAATGTGACGGATGTGACTGAAACTCAAATGAACGAGAAAAATGGTAATCTTCATATTTTGCTAATATTATTTTTTCGTTTCATCATAATAGCAAGGGAAAAAGTTAGTTTGCAGTTCTATTTTCAGTATTAAGTTGTAATTATTTGTTTTAGAGTTAAATGAAGATTGGAGCATTCGTATGATTGCTAATAAACTCCGACATTTCGCAGATAATTTTGAAATGGAATTTGAAAACTCATCTGCAAGTATGCAACAACGACAAAAAAGAAGTGCTACTTGTGTTAGTTAATTTTGCATCTTCTTAAATTAAAAATAATAGTTTTGATTCTTTGAAATTATGATACAGTCAGCATAAAATTATTAAAATTTACAAACTGAATATTTTCATATGTTTTTACTCTATATTTTGATAAAAAAATACTCTAATCAAATATTTTTACTTTATATTTTGATAAAGTAAAAATATTTTATGTAGCTCATCTTAATCTCTAATAAAAATTTTTGCACCAAGAAATCTTCTCTTGCTTTTGCGATGTTTTTAGCATCACAATAACTAGAACTAATTTGTGTATTTCATCTATTTTAGCTGTTCTGTCTCCTGAATCAAATGGCGTACGCTGCTTTAGAACGGATAGCTCAGATGATCACACAAAGTTAAATTGTACAGATTCATCGATGGCCTTTACAACGGTGTATAATCATATTCGGTTATTAATTTCATTCTATTTCGAACTTTTTATAGAATTTATTATCTTTATCTACTGCAGTTTTTTTCCGAGATTTTATTGTAGTCAATTTTTGTCTGTATAAATTATTGTTTTGGTTTAGTTATGATGACGACTTGAGTTTTCTTTGTTTGAAAAAGCCTTGCTTTAGAAATCGAAACTTCAGCTAAATTTTAACCACTTCTGACTTTTGGAAGTCATTTGCATCCAAGTTTACTTTTTGATTCTCAGTAGTTTCTAAAATACAACTAGTAGACCTAAATAAACTTGAAAATCACGATACTTTATTACAGTAATTTAATAACCATTTTTGCTCTTACATTAGAAATATGCTCTGCATGCATATTTGAAAATGTTGAAATGACTGTGAAATTCATTTCAGTGTTGAACGCATTTATCGGCATCGTTATTTCTAATGTTAGACATTTCAATTTGTAAGTTAAGTTTTTTTTTTTTAATGCGGGCTGTGTCTCGCTAGTTTACTACCACTTATAGATCAGTTTTCTCATAGGTTATCTCTAGTAATTTCTTATTTCAAAAATTTTTTATCATTCTATGTAGCAATTTTGCCACAAAAAAATTGAATTAAACTAAATTATTACACATACTGAAAATTTATTTCTCTTGTATTCGCTATCAATTGTTTCTTTCGCATGTATTTCATTTAGTTTGCTCCTTGTATCAATTTACTTGTATATTTTGATAGTTAATATCATTTTTGCTATAGCTGGTGAAAAAATCTGTGGATGAATGTAGTAATATCTGTTATTTTGGTGTAAATTTAGTTTGCCCGCAGAAGTATATTTTATCAGTTTTTTCGTGGTTGATCATTGATTGAAATAAAGAATTATTGTTATGATATATAGTTAAAGGGATTTGGAGTTAATAGTTCTGCAAAAATCTCTATAATAACGTGAAGCTCATTTTATTAAATGTTTTGTAATATTTATTTTAAGCTTCATGTGGATTAAATAATATTGAATGATTCATTTTATCGACTTTAAAAATGGTAATGAGTAGTTCGTTTTTGTTAGGAATAAATAACATTAATACACTTTGGACTATAACTGGCCAATGTCCACTAATGGATGCATAGAGGCTTTATGAGTACTTGGTAGACATTAAAATATTGATAATGGAGAAATTGCCACTGTTCAGCTGATTTCTATTCTAATTTAAAGTAGTATATAAAGAACGATCTCGTTTTTTGAGCAACAAAAACTCGCATAAAATTTGAACGATTCCCATTTAAATGCAAAAGTACTTCAAATGATTAATTTAACTTCTTTCTCTCTTCTTACTAATTGTAGGCATTTTTTGCCATAAAAATCACATGCTAGCTTTTGTTAATAAGGTCATTAATATGATTATAAGCTTTAGTTTTGATTTTCGCAAAGGACGATGGAAATTATATTATGGATGCAAATGTTTATTTCTTTTTGAAGTACTCATTCGTATGATTAATTAATTAAATTTATTTCAGCAACTTATGATTTAATAGTGAAATTTTTGTCAAATAGATAATTATTAAGACATTTTGTAAAATTGTGTTACACTGAAATCTGAATACTTGAATTCTGTATAGCTACAAAAGATTGATGTGCATTAAATAAATGTTCTTATTACTTTGCAGTGTATCGACAGATTTATTTTTCATTAAATTAAGACAAAACAATAAGATTACACAACCATTTATGTCCACGTGACGATTTCCTTATTCTTTTACTTCTGTAGTAATTTTGTGGTAAATTGTTATTACTAATATTTGTCGAATTCCCCCCAGTAAATATGCTTTTAAAACTTGACATACGTGTTACAAAAAATCTTACAGTAGTAGAAAAGCTTAAAATTAAGCAATAGTGAGGTATGTTGTAGAAGTTTAGGTATAATATTTTGACATTTTCATTGAGGTCATTCAAGGTCATCATTTGAAGAAAAAAGGGAGCTGGAAAACTGTGTAATTTGATGTGTTGAAAAGAAAAACAATTCATGCTCGATCGCATCAATCTCTTAAAATCATAACATTTACTTATTTAACGATTTATTTACTTATTAACGACTCATCTATTTACTCATTTACTTGATAATTATACTCACCTACAATTTACTTATTACTTTATTGTCCTGAGTATGTAAATTATCAAAAAGAAAAGGTAATTCAAGTATCTGATTGAGAACAATAACTTTGCAATGGTTTTCTATACGATAATCGGCTTTTTTCAAAGCTTAACTTAATTTTATTATAAAGTTATACTCAGGCAGATGGTCATCATATTCATTTATGAAGTTTGTGTCTTCAAAAGTTTTTGTGAAAAAAGATTTGATCAAGCGAAAATTCATAAAAAATAAGCTAATCATTATTTTGATCAAAGCGATCGCATTGCTTGAGCTTATTTCCTGGAATTAATAATTCTAGTGCCTCCCAACATTTACTAACGTATTAACTGCTTTTTTCTTCTACGTAACAATTGTATGCAAGAAAGAAAAATCATAATCTAAAAATTAATTGCTAAAATGATCTTAGTATTGTTAAAATTTAATAAACTTTGTAATATCAAAAAATTATACGTTTGTATATATTATTAATTGTAATCAAAATTCATTTCAAATGCATTTTGTTGATTGTCTTTCTATATATTCTTTCTTAACTTCATACTTTTTTGGCAGCAAATTGATCAGACTATATTTCTATTCAATTCAATAATGTTTACATATTTCATTGCGTATGGAAATTTTGCTGATTTTCGCCACTTAATTAATTATTTATTAGAGAAAATTCAATTTTGTTTTTAATAATTAGATATTTTTTAACGGTCATTAATCTTGAAGGAATTGAAAAGTTTTTTTCGTAACAAATGTGCGTGGCATAAAATCTAATTTAAATAGGCAATAAATGAACTTTAAACCAACTACTTTCTTTCTGTTTTTCATAAAATGCCATCAATTTGTACAAAAAACTTGACAATAGAAAACATTAGTTTCGGATTTTCTTGCATAATTCAATGAACGAATAAAAAAATGCCAAAAAAAACGAGCCAATAATCACTGAAATGAAAAATATCATTGAAAAATGAAGCCAACGGTACATTTGCTTGATTATAACGAAAAAATGAAAAAACATTTTTCAAAGTAACATTTTTAGTTAAATGAATAATTTCTGTGGTCTGCTAAAAAAACTTCAAAATTACTTATTTCTATGAAGAAGTTAAAAATTTATACCAATAATAATCGGATAATAACTACGATCATAATAATTATTGAAATATTGTGACAGCAATCAGCTAGTGTATCAGTAATATTAATTAGGACAGAAAAATGATGATAGTATTATTCAATGATGATGATTTAATCTCTTATCAATGAATGACTGAAGAAGTGATAAATAATTATTATTACTGTAAACATAGAAGAATGAGTATAGTAACGATTGTAGTATACTGTATAAGTAGTAAGAATTTTCCTGTGTATTAACAAAAATCAGAAGAAATTTAAACTTTCTCATTGTGCTTGAATGAAGTAGTCAGTGCAATAATTTTAAAGAAGAAGATTACTATTTTCAATCTGTTCATTTGATCAGTTATAATATTAATTAGCTTTTTAGAATTTTACAATAAAAATGTGAGAAATTACTTTTTGTACTATTATTATATTTTAAACAATAAATTTGCAATCAAATTTTAAAGAATTGCTAAAAAGTGAAAAATAATAATAAAATTTTAATTGAAATGATTTGAACAACGCAAAAACATCTAAAAATTTTGTTTCTAAAAACAAATTTTGTGAATATAAAAATTTGCATATTTAATTTCAGTAACAAAATTTGATTACTTTGACAGTCCAATTTATGAACTTATATCACAATTAAACTCCATGCAAATTTATGACTGAAATTCGTTTTAAAATTTTTAAATAATTACCGAAATGACAAATTTATTATAATAAATTACATGATGTTACCTGAAATAATTGCATTTTAATTTCGATTCAATTTATTCACATTAAATATATCAATTAAATTTGCTACTACCACACTTTTCAAATACCAAAATGCGACTATTATCTTTGCATTATAACAATAACTTATGGCAAACAAAGAAAATTTTCTGCAATTACTTAGAAATTTGCGTTTTTCCCAGTAAATATTAGAATAATAATTAATTTTTACATTTATTCAATCATCCACTAAATAAAAATAATGGCAATAAAAATAATAATAATAATAACAATAATAATAATAATAATAACAAATAGTAATAATAATAATAAGAATAACAATAATAATATCATTACTGTTAGTTCAATGCTTTTAAAATGGAATCAATATTGATATTAATATTATTTGTTATCACTATGATCTGAGAGCAATGTCAGTACTGTTTTCTTCATTACAGTACAATGATAATGCTTCATTCATTTTAATTTTCTGACTTCAGAAAGGTTAATTAGAATATAAAAGTAGTGGTTTATTTGCACAAGCAAAAAACATACAAATAGTCAAAGATGAACAAGTCGAATTATTAAAAATTTTACTGAGTGCTTTGCTGTGTCTACTCTTTAAGTTCAAAAAATCCGTTTCTAAATTTTGATCTGATTTTCAATCAGTGGAAAACGGTTACAGATAGGGCAAATATCAATGTAGGAGAAAGATCAAATTTGCAGTTACTGTAGATAAAATGAAATATGTGAAAATACTGAATGAAAAAATACTCAGTTACTGTAAGAAATGAAATTGATTTGCAAGTTAGAACCGCTAATCTTATCCAACAAAATGTAATTTGATAAGAATAAATAAACAGACAAGCACATTGTGCTGCTAA